GGCATTGAATCATAGAATCATAGAAAATTATGGTTGGAAGGGACCTCAGGAGGTCATCTAGTCCAACCCCCTGCTCAAAGCAGGACCATCATCCCCAATTAGATCATCCCAGCCAAAGCTTTGTCTAGCCAGGTCTTAAAAGCCTCCAAGGATAAAGAGTCTACAACCTCTCTGGGTAACTTGTTCCAGTGTTTTACAAATTATTTTTGTTGTCCTCTGCTGGGTTCTTTCCAAGTTGTCCACATCCTTTCTGTAGTAGGGGGCCCAAAACTGAACACAGAACTCCAGATATAGCCTCACCAGCTTTTCCAAATAGTTCCTAACCTGTTTTTTACCAATGTTGACTGCTCACCTCTTCTCAAACTGTGCTGCCCAGTGCAGTAGTCTGGGAGCTGACTTTGCCTGTGAAGGCTGAGGTGCTCAAGTTGGCATCCACTACTACATTCCCCACCAATTCATTCCTGTTTGTGAGCAGCACGTCAAGAAGACCACAACCTCTAGTTGGTCACCACAGCACTTGAATGAGGAAGTTGTCTCCAATGGAAAGATCGTGGTTGGTCTGTGTGTGGGTCCCTCATTCTGGAACAATGTCTTTGGGTCCTAAATCCAGAGCTAACACCAGTGGATGTCAGGGTGATTGAAGTCCCCCAGGAGAACCAGGGTCTGTGACCTGGAAACTTCCACTAGTTGTCTGAAGAAAACCACCACTATAGCAGACACCCACTACAATGTCACCCTTGTTGCTCTCCCCTCTAACCTTAACCCAGACTTTCAACAGGCCTATCTCCTGTTTCATTCTGGAGCTCTGAGCAATCATATGGCTCTTTTACATAAAGTGCAACTCCTCCTCCTCTTTCCCCCTGCCTGTCCTTCCTGAACAGTTTATACCCATGCATGACAGTGCTCCAGTCATGTGAGCTAGCCCACCAAGTCTGTGTTATTCCAATCACATCATAGTTCCTTGAATGAGTGAGGATTTCCAATTCCTGCTTGTTTCCCAGACTCCATGCATTTGTGTACAGGCACCTAAGGTAACTTGTTGTTTGCCCTGATTTCTCAGGAAGTTTGACCTTCTCAAACCTTATACATCTCCTGACCTTTACAGCTTGCTACTTTGCATCAGAATAAGCCACCCACCTGTTAATTAATTTACTGAAGCAAGGCATAAATTTTACTGGAGTGGCTCAAATTTTTCCTAACGCTGACTTTTAGGAATCTTTTGGGAAAATCATCTGTTAAAAAATGGGTTCTTAAACTAATACTCTAACTTTATTTAAACATTTAAAAATATATGTTGAAATGCTGTATTAAATAGTGCCAAAAGAATGAATAATAGCAGACATTATTTTTAAATGTTCATCTGTAACTACGTCTCTCTAAACTTAAAATTTATGGTCAATGAGGTTTTCTCACGGAGGAATGCATTACATTTAAAAAAGAAATTAATGGCCTTCAGTAAATTTAAGGATGGCTGGCAACTGTGCTTTGCATGTTGTAATAAAAATGGTTTATTGAACTAACGTAGTTAAATGCAGGAGCCAAATTATACTCAGACTCTGCTCTGTAGCAAGCACGGCTCTAGGGGCATCATTTGCTGACTTGGGTTCTGCTCTTGCCCCAATCCCACTTGAGTTTCTGCTTGATTGCAAAGCTTAGAGGAATTAAAGTACATATCTTTTCTTTCATTTAGCTGTATTTATTTTCCATTGGCTCCTTTTATGCAGCACCACTAATGTCCCCAGAGCTCCTGAACCCATTTATTTTCTATCTGCTGCCTGCCTGCCTGGAGGATAGCCTATTCAGCCCTGCATGTTGAGCTCCTGTCAACTTAAGGAGGAGAAGTATTTGAAAGATTTCAGGAGTGTATCAGAGAAACTGTAGGCAGGCAAGAAAAATAAATAGATTCAAGGGGTTCAAACAGGAGATAAGAACTTGGTAGACACTGGGAATGCAAAGCAATTCTATTAAGAGGAAGAGGGACTTGATATGTTTGTGGGAAGAAACATTTGTACTCGTAAGGCAAAAGCATGGAAGAAGGAGGCTCTAGTTCATTGTAACAAATGGGTTATGGATGACTAATTTTCCCTTTTTTGATTCATGTACCTTTAATGATACTGGGCTCGTCTACACATGCATTTATTCCAGCCTAGATTTATTGCGGAGTAAGATACTGCAGAGTGGGTATGTCTACATGTGTACATTTAATGCACTTTAGCCCGATTTAAGGCACATTAAGGGCATGTGTCTACATGTGTGTGTCCTTAATGCACCTTAAAAATGTCAATTTCACAATATACAAGCCTAAATTTGATACTTTCATAAAGCAGGTATGAAATTTATGTGCAAATAGTTCAATCGCATTAGTGAACATATAGACATGCTAATGTGCATTAACGCAGTGTGTCTCCATTGACTTCGAACTAATTTTAGTCCCAAATCAGCCTGCACACCTGCAGTAATGTACATTAGCTCATGCACATGTGGATGTGTGTATAAATCACCTTAATGTGCATTAGACTAATCTGCATCAAGTTTAGGTATGCAGAAAAGCATGTGTGGACACGCCTAGTAAGGGTTTTTGGGAGATGTCTACATATGTGGAGATCTGGGAGCAGATTTGCTCCCAGTTCCCTGCAGCCCTGCAATTCACCCTTGAAGCCACCAGGGGAAGCTCCAGGCTATGGGTGCAGCTGCCAGCACCTGGCAGCCATCTTTAAAAGCCAGTCCTGCTCTCTGCTCTCTAGCTAGCCTCTTCATTGCCCAGGATCAGCATGCCAAGGACAGAGGCAGCATGCGGCAGCTTTCTCTTTGGTCTCTCTCCCACCAGAGGTGTGCTATGGCTGCTCTGTGTCCTGGCCCTGTCTGTGATGACCACTGCCCTGTGCTCCTGTTGGCTGCCATAATAACCCTGCTGGCTCACCACCCTGACTGCTACCTGGCCCACGGCCATCTCACCCTGCCCAACTCCCTCATGACCAGCAACTGCCTACCCACACACAACAAGCCATCTTAGGGCTACCATGCCACTGCTCCTGCCAGGCATGCTGACACGGGGCTCCATGATGCCACTACCAGGGATGCCATTGCCCGCCTGGGGCTCCAGCTCCACCACTTCTGGGCCCGCTGTGTCAGGGCCTGCACCTGGTTCAGAAGACCTGGGACAATGAGCAGTGGCTGGATGCTTTCTGGCTGATCTGGGCCACCTTCTGGGATCTGCTCCAGCAGCTCTGGCCCCACCTGGAACAGCAGGACATTGGCATATGCCCGGCCCTCCCCGCCAACACCTGGCTGGCCCTCGCACTATTCAAGCTGGCCACACCCACCAGCCTTCAGTACATTGGGCACTTGTTTGGTGGGGCGAGGCCACTACTAGGAAGGCCATCCTGGAGGTTTGTGGAGCCCTCTAGATCATGCTGGGGCACACCATGCTCTGCACTGATGACCCCCTTGCAGTGGTGGCAGGGTTCCATGCACTGGGATTTCCCCAGTGCATTGGACCCCTATATGGGACCCACTTTACCATCACCTATCCACTCCACGGCGACTGCCTCTATTACAGCGGTAGGGTATTTCACTCTGTAGTGCTCCAGGCCATCATGGATCACCAGGGCATATTCACCCATGTGAGTGCCAGCTGGCTGGTTTCAGATCTCTGGCTTGGAAGAACTGGTGGAGAGCAGGTGCTTTACACTGGGTCCCACCCCTGCTTATTAGGCTCCCTTGCTACCCACTCCTGCTGTGGCTGATGCAGCCCTACACCAGCCACCTGGATCCTCACCGGGCCCCCTTCAACTGCTGCCTGGGTCAGACCCATTTCCTGGTTGAGGGCACCTTTGACTGCCTCAAGGGACATTGGTGCTCCCTCATCACCTGCCTTGAGGTCACTTAGGATAACCTCCAATGGATCATCATTGCAGTCCGTGTGCTGTATAACATCCGTGTGCTGTATAACATCTGTGAGGCCCAGGGGGAGCTGTTCAGTAAGGCCTGGGTGGTGGAGGCACAGCACACGAAGGAGGCCTGGTGGTGGGAGCACCACCTGCAGTGACAGTGGCAGCTGTGGATCCCCCCCACCTAAGCACCAGGAGAGCCACGTACATGTTAGTGGGGGCCAGGGCACTGAGTGTGGGAGGCTCTAGCTGACCATCTCCTATAGCACTCCCTGCTCTAGCCCACCTGCCCCGCTGCCCACAGACCCCCTACAGCCTGTCCACCCCAGCACCACTCTCATGGCAGACACGTGTTGGAAGAAGAGGTCTTTATTTCCCTCACATTACACTCACCCTCCTTCGTCCTTCCCCCCTCAATACCCCTCCCCTCTCCTCACTTCTCTCTCAACACATAGAGCCCTCTCCCTCCACCACCCACCCCAGCCACCAACAATAAAATACCTTCTTCCCCATGAAAACTATTTACAAAGTAATTTGTAAATGTGTGCTGTCCTGGAGTAGGGGGCCATGGAGTGGGGGCACCTAGAGGGCAGAGCCAGGGGCAGATGGCCAGCACCCTGGCTTCTGGCCATTCCCCTGTGGGTCTGGATGTCACAGCAAGTGTGGCAGATGGGGGACTCATCTGGGGGTGACAATAGCTGGTGCTCCTCTGGTGCAGCTAGCTCCCCCTCTGGCTGACAGAGTCCAGGCCCAGCAGGGCTGGCATGTGGTCTTGGTGCTGCTCCAGACAGCTCCAGCTCCATGCCTGCATGGAACCAGGGTGAGTATCAGGGCTGGGCCCAGGTGTCGGGGCTGGGTCATGGTAGATCTGGGGTGAGGGCCAGGCTGGGGGCTCCTGTCAGCTAGAGGCAGCAGAGAACCTCCTCCCAGGCCCAGGTGGGGCCTGCTGTGGGGTGGTGGGTGCTTTCAGGGGGCCTGTGGGGCTAGGGATGGGGGCCAGGCAGTGGTGGTCATGAATGAGACTGCCAGGCCCAGGACGTGACAGTCATTGTCCATGACCTGCACTACCCAGCCCAGGATGGTGTTCTGCTTCTGCAAGACCTGCACTTGCAACTGTGGCTGCTCTCCTGTGTCTAGATGTTGGACCTGCAGAGCCATGAGGCAGAAGCCTTTTGTGAGAGTTTGCAACATTTCAGAGATCAGCTGCTCTGTACCAGGGGCTAAGTGCTACTCGGCTTCAGATTGGGGGTCAGCCATAAACAGGTGCCCATTGACCATAGTAAGTCAAGCCAGGCAGGACTAGGGTCAAGTGGCTGCTGGCTGAGCCCCCTCATTCCCACACACTCCCCTGGGGCTGGCAGCCTACTGGGTGCTGACTACAGGCAACCTGCCTCCCCTGCACCATCTCCAGGGTGGGACAGGCCAGGATCCTGGCAGCACCTGCTGTCATGGCTCCAGATCCTGCTGCCCCCATCTTCCTCTGCAGGCCAATTGCTCTGCTACACTGCTCCCAGGCTGGGAGACAACAGAGCTCCTGGACAACTGGGATGAGGAGCTGGCTGTGCCCCTGCCCTCCCCACATGGGGCCTCTTTGGGGAGGCACCCTGGGGCCAGTTCCCAGCTGCACTGTGCTGTGCCATGAGCATGCCCCTGCTGTGCATATGCCAGGAGGTGTGCAATGAGATGTTTGCATGGGCTAAGGTGTTCCTTAGCTTGGTGCAGTCCTCCTAGCTGGTGAAGGCATGCAGCTTCACCTAGTATCCTTAGCCCATAGGGCGCAGCATGCAAGCACTAAGCTGGGGAGCCCTGCTGAGGAGAAGCTGGTGCTGCTGGTGGCCAGTGGTGTCATGGCCAGCCATTCTTCATGTCTGGCCCTGGGTCTGTGCAGCTGGTGAGGCAGACACTGGTCAGGGCTACTGAACTGCTGGTGGAGGCAGAAGCCAGGGATCTGGGTGGGATGGGATCCTTGCTGGCAAACTTATTGAAGTGGGCAGCCAGGTACTGCTTGCAGCACTCTTGTCCTACCTGCAACACAGCGCCATCAGTGGCTGGGTGGGATTGGGGCTTGTGCAAGCCACCCATGCTGGTATAAACCACAGAGTTGTGGCCTGGGTCCCAGGGCACCAAAATATTGGTCAGCTACTGCATAATGGGCATGATCTTATGGGCACAGCTGGACTGATGATTGTGGTCAGTCATGGTAACCCACTGACCCCCACAAGGTCTTGACCTTTATGCAGCACTGCTGTGCCAACCCATCATCTCCTTGTTCCCATATCGTGCCCAACAGGGCCTCATAAAAGTGGGTGTTGGAGTGCTCTCCCCCATCAAACTGGTGCCACACCTCTGCCTTACCTCAAAGTGTCACAGGGTCACCAGTCTCTTCTTGGCTTCAGCTGGAGCCCTGGGTAGAAGGCATAGGCATGTGCTCACACGTGGTCCTGGGCCTGACTGGTGAAGATGAGGCCACTGGGGTTCCTTGCCAGCTCTGTGGACCCAGCATGAATGTCCCAGTGCTGCCAGTCCTGGGCAACTGCCAGCAGTGCCCAGCACAGGGGTATGGCATGGGACTGGTAGCTGTGTGGCAGAGGTAATGCTCCACAGCACCTGCAGGTGCAGGGTGGGCTGCTGGGGGAATGCTGCAGGTAGTTGGCACTGGCCCTGCTGTCAGAAGCTGCCTGAAGGTGGCTCTGGGAGGCTAACAGGGCTGGGCAGAGACTATAGACACCTGAAACCCCTTGAGCATGCAAAGTACCCCGATGGTAGTGCCCTGGAAGCTACAAGTCAGTGCAGTGCCAGGCAGTGCTAGGGTACTGGTAGGCAGGTGCATGAGGGCTGTGGCCTGCCCAGGTGGATGCACAGGGCCTGCAGTGCCCTGAGGCTCCCTGTGTTGTGTGCCCCAGGGCACAATATGTCTGCAGGCTTTTAGAGACTGCAGGCAGAGGCTGCCATACAGGCTCCTAGGCTGCAGCCCCAGGGCTGGCCTCAGGCCAGCCGTCTAATGACTGGGCAGACCTGGGAGCAAACTTGCTCCTAGGTCTCATCTACACATGCATTACTGCACAGTAACTAATCAAGCTTAAATTTGCTACCTACATTTGTGGGAAGCAAATTTAATTGCAATTAAGTGTTTTTACCGTGCTGTAATCATGCACACATGAACATGCTCACTTCCTGTGCAGTAAATTAGGCTACTGGGTAGTAATGCATCTTGTGTAGATCCACCCACTGTTGAGTACTAGATGCTGTGGTGGGTTTAAGCAGAGTTTTTAAAGGAGTCCAAAAAAGTGAGAAATTCAACTCCTACTGAATTTCAGCAAGATCTGTGTGCCTTATTCTTGTAAGCTTCTTCAGAAATCCCAATCTCTCTACGCAAACTCTAACTTTTCATACTTTAGATTCTCCCCCCACTTAGCTTCACAAGTGACATAAATAGGGTTCAAAATGGTCCTAATTAATAAAAGATATTAGTTCATGGCAAAAACCCTAATAAACATCTTATAATGAATTTAGTAATTCAGTGTTGCATGGGATCTAGCATTGAATTTGCAGGTACTGAGAGTTACCATTTAGATGTATTACCATCTAAATATGTAGGAAAGGAAGACATTTAGATAAAGGGAGACAAAGATCTAGGAGAGGAAGTATGTATTTCCACAGCCTCCAAAAACATCTTCAGTCATTTGGCTTTTATAACCTCCCTATTCTCTCATCCAAAGGATCTTTATAAATACCAGCAGCTAGCAATTTCATAGCATCACTGTGTTTAAAGCCAGAAGTGACTACTAGATTATTTACTCTGATCTCCTTCAGATCACAGGCCATCATGTTTCACCTATATTAAGTCTAGTGTCTTTTGTTAGCCTAAAATATTTTTGTGTGCAGGAAAATAAATTGTGCACCACAGACAGAGAATAAGGGAGAAGCACAAAGGAAGCCCATTCCCTTGAATGGACTCGAATGGACTTGAAGCACAAAGGAAGTCCATTCCCATGCAGAGAAAAGGTAATAGAAGGGCTGGAAATCCCTTTTGGCTAAACAGGGAAATCAAAGTTCTCTTAAGAAAGAAAGAGGCTTATAAACAATGGAAGCTTGTGGTGGGCCCCAAGGAGGACTATTCCACAATGATCCACATTTACAAGGAACAGATAAGAAAGGCTAGTGCAGCAACCAAACTTAGATTAGCAATGGGAATCAATAACAAGAAGAAGTCCTTCTTTAGGTACGTAGGGAACAGGAGGAAAGCAAATGGGAGTGTGGGGATATTGCTCAACAACTCAGGAGAGCTGGTTACCAGCACCCAGGAGAAAGCTCAACTCCTGAATGACTACCGCACACTGATATAACCCGTATCAATGTATAACCCGCGGAAAATTGTATTTTCGGAAAATAGTTCATGTATAGACCGCACCTGTGTATTCCCCGCACCTGATAGTGTCAGTGCCAGGGGCAATTTTAAGCCTATTAAGCCTGAGAGGTGCTGGCCCCAGCCGCGGGCGCTCGCTGCCGGCATGCAGGAACTGGGCTCTCACCCCCCAAGACATGGCCCCCTGAGACATGGCCACAAATGTGGCTGCCCCATCGGAGCTCAGGTGCTGGGGGGGCCCCCAGTACTTTACCTCAGTCTTTTACCGGACAAAGGGGAAAACAATGCTAGGTAGAGTACAGGATGAGCATGGTAGGAATAATCACCTTCCCACTATTGCTGTACAATTGGTGTATGACCAATTTAAAAAATTAGACATATATAAGTCTGTGGGATGGGATGATCTTCATCTGAGAGTGCTGAAGGAGCTAGCTGAAGTCATTGTGGAACGCCTGGCAAAACTCTTCCACAACTTGTGGCACTCTGGAGAAGTCTCTGAGGACTGGAAGATGGCCAATGTTGTCCTCATCCACAAGAAGGGCATAAGGGAGGACCTGGGTAACTATAGACTAATCAGCCTAACTTCCAACCCAGAAAAAATCCTATAAAAGTTCCACAAGGAGTCTATCTGCAATAAGCTTGCAGAAAGTAAGATCCTGAATGACAGCCAGCATGGCTTCATTGAAGGCAGGTCTTGCCTTACCAACCTCATCCCCTTCTATGACTAGGTAACTCACCACTTGGACACAAGAAAGCAGGTTGACATTGTATACGTAGACTTCCAAAAGGCCTCTGATCTAGTATCCTATGATGTCCTCACAAGAAAATTGGAGGATTGTGGGCTTAACTCTACGCCCGTCAGGTGGGTGAGAAACTGGCTGCAGGATAGGACCCAGACAGTCATAGTGAATGGATCTATATCATCCTGGTGAGAAGTGGGCAGTAGTGTCCTGCAGGGGTTGGTGCTTGGTCCAGTACTTTTTAACATGTTTATCAACAATTTGGATGTAGGGGTGAAGAGCTCAGTGGCAATGTTCGTGGATGACACCAAGTTATGGGGAAGCGTGGTCACAAGCAACCCCCAACACACCTACAGTCTTGGTGGCACCAAACTAACCAGCACCACGAATGAAAGGGACCTGGGGGTAATAATAGACCACAGTGTGAATATGAGCCAGCAGTGCGATGTTGTAGCCAGTAGGGCAAATAATAGTCTGGCATG